GTGTGTGTGTGTGTGTGTGTATACACACACACACACACACACTCCATCCCTGGCTGCTTCGGTCCCTTCATGACGACAGCTGAGAATTGGTCTTAGACTTGGTAAATATTGGATTAGCTTTTCATTGCCCAGCCCTCTTGAAAAGGCCCGAACAACCCACGCCAGGTCTCGGCTAAGCCCGACAGTCAATAGGTAATGAAAGTAAGTTCTTTCCCTGGCTTAGGGGGGTTTCCACCTCATTACCAGGTTATCTGATTCCCCTAAATAGTTGCTGTATAGACGGGGGGAGGGACACTAAGAAGCGAGCGAAAGGAGGGAAATTAACCCTAAAGCGCAGGTTTAACTATCATTTCCGTTGATTGGGTTGTGGTTGGGGGAGGGCATGATTCATCCCGCAGGCTCGCCTTTTCTTTCCTGTCTCAGACACGATTCTATTTTTACAGATCGCCCACGGGGGGTGTAATGTGTTACCCACGTCGCCTAACAGTGGAAGGGTAAAATATCTGGCCCACAACAGGCTACGTTGGAAGAGGCCCATTAACATTTCTGCGTGTTGATTTATTTCCAGAGAGCTACAGTTTATGCCTTACTCAACACAAAACCAAAAAAACAACAATAAATAAAAAAATCCAAAACAAAAACAAACAAAAAAAAACCCCAACAACCTTCCATCGCGTAGGAAATCCATCCCTTTCCCCTTCACAGCATCACACAACCCAAACTAGCAATGGCAGAGTTTGTGTGCGCGTTACCAGTCAAGATAAACAGTCTGATCGGTGTAGTAAGGGAGTTAGTATGTTAAAAGAAAGGATTGTCGGCTATTTTATTTTTTTGGTGTGTTCTTGAAACCAAAAAATAATCAAAGTTAGCCCGGTCAGCTGTTTGCTCCCGTCCTGTTTGGATTTAGCTCCTTGAATGCTTCGTTATTTCTCTAATATCTCCAGCTACTCTCCGGCGCGATGGATGGGTCGGACACTTCAGGTAAAGGAAGGCCACCAGGTCTGGCCCGGGTGGAGATTGTTACCCGCGAGCACCCCTCGCCCCAGCCCGAGAAAGCCTTCCCGAGAAAGGCCCGGGCGGGCGACTTCTCAAAATTGCCTGCCTGGAACAAGGAAGCACTATCACAAGAAAGAGACAGTTCTCTTCAAGAGAACAAAAAATGGTCAGTCCGCAGCGTTCTCCAGTTGCGCAGTGAGAAAAAGCCTGCATAACATTACACCCCCTTGTGAATGAAACCTTGTTCTCCCTGCAGAGGAGAAAAACCCAGCTAAGCCACCCGAAGGCAGCGGAACTACAATTCTTGATCGGGGTGCAACGTCTGCCCTTGGATTTCATTTTATGGGCGAGATTTGTTTAGGCCCCGTGCAGATGCAGGAATTTAATTTCCTGTGAAATGAGAGACCAACTTGTCAGTGGGGCTGGAGAAAAGGAGGCCCTGTTATCCTTCAAAGAAGAGAGAGGGGGGTTCTTTCCCCCTCCCCCCCCTCTCTCCCCCAGAATAGATATAGCACGAATTTTTAATTCGTCTTCCTTTCACAGACAACAATACAGGTTTTGAAAGCAGGACACAATTTGGGTTTTGTGAGGGTCAGCCCAGATGGCCATATGGAATACAGCATGTACAACACGGGTGACAATGGCCCCAAGTGACAGCCAGAACAAAACCCAAGGATACTTCGCCCTGACTCGGGGATGCACCGCTCCTGATAAACGAATTGAATGGCACTAAAAAGAAGACCAGGGGGAGGGGGTTGGAAAGCACTGTCTCTCTCTCTCTTTCCCCCTACCCCTGTCCCCTCTGTGTTCTCTCTTTCTCTCTGACCTCCTTAATATGTACGCCTCTAACATCCTCAACTACCAGCCTCCCCCATTGTGCTGTTTTGTGGTGGCTACTGTATATTGTGCAAAGATAGACTGCGCCAAACTGCCCCGGCGGCGTGTGAAATATAAGGCCACGGGGGGGTGAGGGCCACACAACTGGCTTGATGGACTTAATAGGGTCCAAGCAGAAAGTGATTGTTTCCCTCCCACCCGCTCTGCGCGGCTGGTGGAATTAGAAGGGGGGGAAAGTGTCCAGCTCTGTAATGTGGGTTCCTTTATTCACACACTACCTAAATCTATTTTCACTCCACTGTCACTTCACAGGGAGCTCGGCCGCGCCTGGCTCTAGGGATGGTTTTAAAACATAAAAATCAGATTCCCTCTTTGCAACCAAACGCTGCCACTAATGCATTTAGATCTCTCGCTGCGTCTGTTCAGCTAAGACTGGGGGGAGCTTGGCTAATAACTATCAACAAGGCTAGATCCTGCCCCGGCAGAGCCGTGACTTGCTGGTTGCCAGCCAAGTTGTTGCCGATTGCCCTCGGCTTTCGGGAGGCTTTGAGGAAACCCGGACTCATTTCTTGGCTTTTGTGTGTGTGTGTGTGGG